ATGAAATCATATAAACCATTTGGATTAGAGCCCATCAACAAAGCTTTCCTGGCTACAAAGTGTTAGACCGACCTTAACTTTCCTCTAACGTTTTATGGGTTTTCTTGGATTCAGTTAGCATGGATGTGGCTGTTGTCTACCATCTTGCAGCCAGAACACAGGTGCAGTTTATCTTCTCTGAAGTCCTGTGACATTGTTTCAAAGTGGCATTGGCCTCCCTGATTTCAGTTATTGCCAGTGTAACATTTCATCTTACAAATCATAGGACTTTAGAGCATTAAAAGACTCTAAAAGGGGCCTCAGAAGACCAAGATGGAAGAGGTTAAAGTGTCGTGCCCAAGGTCGCACAGCTAGCTTGTCGCTTTGTCTGCTGGTTTTATTTGGCATCTCTTGACTCTTCCTTCAGAACAACAGCCTGTTTCTGTAAAAGTCTTTGCTCTCTGCAGGGTCTCTTTTTTTCCTAATTTCCTGAATATATACATTTTTTTCCAAAAACAATTTTTTTAAGGAAATTTTTATAAAGCTCTTGGTAACAACAGTAGATGGACTATGACCAAGTAAATCATTTTTAAAATTAAATTAAAAGCATTCAGAAATTACTTAGCTTACTGTCTGATAATCCATAGTGGGCCAATCATCAAAGCTCCAAAGGAAAAATACATTTAAAAAGGTGAAAATCATGTATATAGTTTTTTACATGACTTCGCTTCAGTAACTGTTTATGTCATAACTTAATAAAATAAATATAGCTTGTATATTGTTTACAAAATTCCAACGTCTTTTTGGAAACTTGAGTATAATAATGCATTGAAGTAACACTGGGTTTTTTTGTTTATTTGTTTGTTTTGAATGCTTGGATTTTTTTTAAGAGTATGTAATTATATTGGGCACATTGAGAAATGGGTGCAATGTTCCAACTGTATTCACTTTATTTTGGGTCTGTCACGGTGGTGTTGCTAAGAGCCACAGGCTTAAAAACATTTGGAATTTTGTTTTCATGCTTATCTCAGTAAATCCCTAAAATATTGTTTAAATAAACCCGATCCAGGGCAAAATAAAGCCCAAACAGGCATTCGCTAGCCACAATGAACTTTAGCCAAATATTTATTCATCAGTTAATGTGAACTTACTGGGTGATCACGGGGTACCTGGTCCATTGAGATGGTTGTTTTAACCCAGAAGGGGCTGGGAAGCTAAATTTTAAAATAACATCAATCTAGAATCAGGTTTGGATCATCATTTCTGCAATAGTATTTAAAATGATTTGGAGTGGATTGAATTTGAAAGTAAGGTGAACCTTAAGCTGGTACATTTCAATAACTTTCATTGATAGAAATCCAGAATACCTAGGACAGGAGAAAGGGAGTAAAGGATGCAGAGAACCGTCTTGTAGATAGGAGAATAATTGAGCCAGGCAAAAAATTGTACTTAGATGAAATTGAGAAAGGTGTCAAAGTTACTGACTTGAGAAATAGCTGTGAACTGGGCATTGTCCATCATAAGGACACCAGTAAATGGCAGGAATGGCAAACGGCAGGTTCTTTCTTTGTGAGAGAGAGTTCATATACAGCAGCCAGATAATCAAATAGAGGTGTCCTGGACAACCAGTGCTGGCCTAACTCTCCAAATGCCAGCCAGAGGACTGTGTTTGTCTGGGCAATTTGAAAGGATGACTTGTTGTTTGAGTCTCTTCCTTCCTTTCTTCCGTTCTTCCTTCCTTCTTTCCATTCTCACTTGTCGCCTTGCTTCTTTCTTATAACTAAAAATTAGTTATATCTAGCCATTAAATACTAGTTTTAAAGATAAAGCCACTTTGGAGATTCCAACTAAATTGTAAATGTGTCTATCACCTCTTGTAAATATACTAAAGAAATTTTTTAAATCTTGATTTGTAACTCTATGATTTTATGAGGCATCAAGCTATTCATGATATTACTTTTTAAACAATAAAAATAAAGGATAAGAAACATTTTTAAATGGCAAAAGAGAAGCATAAATACAAAGTATGGCATCTTTGACTTATCCCTGACACACTAAGCGTCTGTCCCAATATCCAGTCACAACTGGTTTAAAAAGTAAACACCAAATGTCACTTCGTAGTCTTAAGCCTAGAAATTAAGTATAGCTGGAAAATAAATACAAATGTATAAGGGATTTGTGAGTCTTGTTATTAAGGCAAAGTGTCTTACCATTTGTCTCTTTGACTGACTGGTATGATGAGGGTAAGAAGTTTCCTTATGAAAAGGACATGGAACAAGGAACCCTACCCACCAGTCACCAGTCAGTATCCTCTCCAGGGACCTGCCATTAAAGTCTGGATAATCCCAAACTGGTTTTTAAATGCATTTCATTCCTTAAAGCCAATAAACAGTGAAATAAACCTCTTGGATCAACTGAGATCAGGTTTCTTTGGGGGTAGGGGGATTGGGAGGAATTGAATCCTTTTCAAAAAAACCTGTTTCACAGTCTATCTTACTGTGGTACATATTGAAAGTTGGATGGTTTCCATGAAAACAAAAATAGACATAAAAGACAAAAGAGTTTGTGAGCCATACTTAGAGTCAAGTTGGTTGTGTATGTGTATGTGTGCATGTGTGTAGGAGCAAATCTTCCCCGGAATTTTTTTCTCAGAATTAACTCTCTGTGTGCATTTTGATTTTTCGTGTGCATACTCTTATGACTCATTCAGTATTCATGATTCCATAAACGTTGGCTATATATCTACTCTTTTCCAGACATAAGGTGGCCATTGGGGATTCAAAGTCAAATAAGACAGAGCTCCCTGTCCTCAAAGTGTTATAATCTCAGCCAACTAAAAGTTTATTTCCCACTCACGTTGAAGACAAGGCACTGCTCCAGATCCAGGCCAAGTGAAGGTCCCTCACCTCAACACGCAGCATCTGAGGTCCCCTGGGCATCAGCACATCCACTGGTGGATAGAGACGGAGAGGGAGTGGTGGACCACATAGCAGATTCACCCACAGGCCTTTGCACAGAACTCCTTCACATGACCTACCTACAAGGGAGACGGGGAATCATAGTCCACCTGTGTGTTTGTTAAGTACTTAGCTTATCACTGTCACAATATTATTTTAAAATTTTTAATTAAAAAAATTTACAATAATAAAAATATTCTTTGGGGTCTGCCCGGTGCCACAGCGGTTAAGTTCACATGTTCCACTTTGGTGGCCCGGGGTTTGCTGGTTCAGATCCCGGGTGCAGACATGGCACTGCTCGGAAAGCTATGCTGTGGTAGGCATCCCACATATAAAGTAGAGGAAGATGGGCACGGATGTTAGCTCAGGGCCAGTCTTCCTCAGCAAAAAGAGGAGGATTGGCAGCAGATGTTAGCTCAGGGCTAATCTTCCTCAAAAAAACAAACAACAAATGAAAATATTCTTTTATTAAGAACTGACCTGGAAAGCTAAGACTCATGTACTGCATCCAAGCTATTACTATTAATGATGAATAAAGATGCAAGTCTCAGTAAAATAGATATCCATCCAACCACTTATTTTTAATTAGGTCTCAGATTTGCCCAATCAGACTTTTCATAAATATAAGATTGATGACTTTGCTTTTTATTTCTTTTACCCTCTGTCCTTCCTGAAGTTGCAAATAAGCAATAGAAAGATGAGGAGCGGAATCAGGATCCTGGAGGTAAATTGAGTATTAAATAATGCACAACTCAGGTCATTGCTGCGATGGCGATAGTTATCTCCTAAAAAGTCGAGAGTCCGCAGTGCTCTGCCAGTCACTCTCCAATTGCGATGGAGTAGGAGCCGCCTCTCCCCTCTGCCTGCCTTCCAGCAACCCTCTCCCTCCCCGTCCTGCTCCTCACACTCCCCCAGTTCAAGGCTCTTACAGAAGGGGAAGTTTAGCCACGTGTTGAAAGGATGGGAAGTGACTCATGGGTTCCCCCAGGGGTCAGGTGAGTGGGTAGTGAGGGAAGGCTGGAAAAGAGAATTCCAGATTAGAAAAGTTACCCAGATGGGAGAGTGACCAGGGCTGGAATTTCAGGAACGACAATGACATCAGCATTGGTCTGACTCTCCCACTTTCCCAGACAAGCATCTCCAAGCTCTGCTGTGACTCGTTTCCCATTGATTCTCACAAGATTGGAAACAAGGAAGGATCAGTGTGAAGCCCAAGGAGAACGGCTGTAACGCCTTGAAGCAGAGTGTCACAGGAGGCTTCTGGGAGAATTGGCTTGGTAGTTCAGTGCTGTGTACGTTTTCCTAATAGAAACCATTATGCCAAAGAGACTTTTAAAACCTAGAATTCAGTAAACCTAAGATGTGTGGATTTTTTTTTTTTTTTTGCTGTTTTGAGATTATTAATTTCAAATACTCTGTATTTTCTGATACCATTATTGTGTTATGAAATAACACAAGTGAGGTTCTAGAATATGTAATTAATAATATGCTGTTTAGACTGTAAATAGAAACCACACTTGACAGAGAAGAGAGGCGTAAAATTTAAGGGTTTGTGAACGTGGGTTCATCGGTACCTGCAAGATACCATGAGAGTACTTTTTGTACCAGGAAGGAGGAAGTCTTTTAGAAACATCGTGTTTGCTACTTGTAGTCAACTGCAGAATGTTTTAGAAATGTACCTAAAGGGCATGTAAGAAAAGATTTGGAAATTTCAAACAAAAGATTAGCCATTGGAATTATAACGTAACTCCCAAGCTGTTTCTTTATGAGTAGCGAGTTCTGTTTGCTAGTAAAAGACCCTGTTGATAATGTGAATGAGTGGAACATACTCCACCTTACATTTTAGTTATATTTAAGGGTTTGATTCATTAGAAAGTGTGTGGCTTTTTCTGTTCCAAACGGAATCCTTTCTCCGTGGCTTTCTTTTGAGGCTGTGATGCAAATCCGTGGTGCTCTTTTTTAATGTGAATGAAAACAATGAGGAAAGGAAGTGTGGAGGCTTGGAATCTAAGCTGATGCTTCGAAGTCACTGTGGAGCAGTGAGGTTCTTCTCCACTGTGAGTGGCCGGAAGCAGGAGAGAAGACAGTCATTTACTCCCTGCCCTAAATTTCTTTGAGCCTTTGTACTGGAAGCTTCCTCCATTAGCGACAGGGTGGCGGGCACCATGCTGGTGCAAGATATGAAAAGACAGTGCCTGTGGAGGGAAGCAGAAAAGCAGAGTAAACTGAAAATTCCAGTGCCAGGGTAAGTGCTGGGCCAGACGTACACAGAGGGTGCAAAGGAGAGACAGGCCAACCTCACTTACCTGGGCGGCCAGAGTGGGGCGGTCAGGAAGCAGTTCACAGAGAAGGTAGAACCAGAGCTGAAAATTAAAGAAGTAGAGGGGGAAAGAAGAATTAGCTAGTCAGATGAAGCAGGGGAAAGTCATTCTAAATATGGGAAAAGTACCTACAGGGAATAGAGGATGGAAGGCGGGGAGGTGGTGGCAGTTTTGGGGAACTGAGTTATTCTGTACCACCTGCGTCCAGGGCATGTGGGCACTTGAGACGCAGAAAGATGTGCCAGGGACCCACGCTGAGCTCAAGAACTGTATGCTTTCCTCAGAAGTTTGGATTTTACCTTGGAGGGATTTGAGAGCTATGGAGGATTGTAGGCAGGGGAGAGAGTGATCAAATTTGAGTTCTGTCTTGGAAGTGATCTGTGCAGGATGTTGGTTGTGCTCCTGAGTAAAATGCACAAATCGTCTTCAGAACATAAGATCTCCTGCTATTTTATGGAAATATATTTAAGAAGGTCTTTGTTCTCAAGCCAGCACTTTACGTTGCGAAGCAGAGATTCCGCCTTCCTCCTCTGATCTTCACTTAGCCAACAGTCAGCTGTCGATTGCCCGTGTGTCTCTCAGTTCATTGAAGTCAGACCTCTGAGTCCACCATAATGTCATCGTGGCCTGAATGGAGTCAGAATTTGCCTGAGCCCCACACTTTCTGGTGTGCAGGGAGGCTGTTATTAAAAAATAATCATCATCTCTCCAAAAGTGAGGTTTCTCTTTTAAATTTACATCTGTGCTTCTTCAGCCAGGCAGAATGTCCAGGAGTATAAGAAGCTACAGGATGGTACATCTTCTTGGAACATCGGTTTTCTTACAATTTGCGGGAAAGCTTTTGTATTAAAATAAGTGTGGGCATGTTATATTCTTCCTCTATATAGATGGAAACTTCAAATAAATTCATTGAGGGCATCTGTTTATTTTCTTCTTCCATTTGAGTACGTCAATGGAAAAATGTGAAAAGTACTCATTTCAGTTAACAAGAACTCCAATTTTTAAGTGCCTGCTGTTTGTCAATTTATGTAATTCATTTTTGTTCAACACGTGGAAACACCAAAGTCCCAAGCCCTGTGCCAGGGAGCTGGATTGCAGCGGTAAACTAAAGGCCCTTCCTTGTTCTGGAGTTGGTCTCACGTCCTTACGGCTGCTCTGAAGAGTAGACATGACATTATGTTCATTTTGCTGTTGAGGAAACTGAGAGGGAAGGAGTTTTGCTCGGGGACTCCTGCACTAAGCCCATACTCCACGCTGCTCGCCACTGCCACACTTCCTCTCTGTGAAAACTTTTGATCTCAACTTGTTGTCTCCTTTCCCTTGTCTGTTGCTGCCCTTACTTTATTCATGAAGAATATTCATTCCTTTCCCCCAGGTCTACTTTCCTATCTCTAGAAATGAAGATGGGCCATCAATCATCAATACCATCAATCAACAGCCACGCCCATGTACAAGTGTGTTTTTATGTTAGTTATTCCCAGTAGTCGTAACAGCTCAACTATCATAAACCTGTACTGAGCTGCTACTGTTTACAGATTCATTGTGCTCAGACTTTACTTCTAGAAAGAGATGGAAGTCATGGTTACATACAATAGGTCAAATAACGATTCAAGATGGCCAGAGATCATGGAGTGTTGGAGATCCTAAGTGTTAGAAGGGTCTGGGGAAGGCTTCTTAGAGGAGATGTCCAACAAGCTACACCAAGGAAGGAGAAGCTTTAACTAAACAGAGCAAAGAATAGGGTCTGCTAGGCAGACCCAACTAAATCTAGTGCCCAAAAGAAGCTTACCCCAGTTTCTCACACATTTTCTCTCTGCTCCTAAGAATTAAAAAGGTCATAGGTGAGTGTGGTTACATTTCAGGAGAGGCATTACTCTACTCTAATTGAAAGCATCCCACTTCCCCAGGGGTGCCATCATGGACTGACTGGATGCTTCTCCTGGAGATATGAACAGGGCAGCCTCTGGGAGTTCAGTTTCCTCCAGGCCGTATGCAGGGAGATCTTGGATGGTCCACACTTAGATCCACCCAAGAGGCGACCTAACCCTTTTGCTCATCACCAGAACTACCCTCCTTCTTCCAGAATCCTCCAGATTGGAAATGACTCTGGACCAAACCTGACTTCCCAGCACTATTCCAAATCCATATCTGGAAAGCCTCTAAGCTGCATGTCATTGATTTGTTATTGATTAAGACTCGGTCTGGCACTCAGCCCAACCTCAGCCCCAGCAATAGTAGCAGCAGGCTTCTCAAATAGAATGGAACAGAAAGCTATGACAACCCGCGTGTGGCCCTCAGCCTCCTTCAATCAAACCAGGAAAGGAGAAAGAAAGCAGGGGAACCTATTCATGGGGCACAAGGAACCTTCACCAAAGACCTTTGACCAGTGGTAATCTGGAGGTCCTTTGCTGGGAATAAATACGAGGAGGAGCCATCCATTCTGGTTTGGGATTAATGCAGATCAGTGTCCGTGAAAGATAGGTGCCTGTCAGACACCTGAAATAAAACTTCTTGGCTCCTCCACAATTCAGCATGCGTTGAGTACGCACCAGGTTCCACGTGCTCTGCCAGACGCTAGAGGTACAAAATGTAAATCAGGCCCCCTCTGCCCTCACAGAGCTTGTGGTCTAATGGGGAGACAGGCATGTAACAAGAACATTTCAATCTAACCTTGTAAGCACTATAATAGTTGTAGGAAAGTCCAGGGAAGAGCCAGGCTAAGCTGGGATTCAGGAAATGATGTCTTAGCTGAATCTTGATGGAAGACAAATCAGAGCAAGTTAGAAGAAAACGAAGTGAGAAGAATGGGATAGACGAAGGGGAGGAAACAGCCTGAGCACAAAGGTGGGATGTGGAACAGCCCCATGAGACTGGTGAACTCCAGGCAGTTCCGTGCAGCTGGGCCCAAAGTGGCTGTGAGCCCCTGGAAGCAGGCCAGGGGAGGGAGGGCACTGGGAGCCATGGCAGTGGGCTAGTATTTATTCTGTGGGTGACAGGGAGATCGGAAGACGTTTTAAGGAGAATGATCATACTTGCGTCTCTGAGGGTTAAGGAAGGCAGGAACTGAAGCAGGGAGACCTGTCAGGAGTCTGTTGCAATAGTCCTGGGGACGTGATGAGGCTCTAAACCAGGGCAGAGAAACTGAGCAGGTCCTGGGGTTGTGTTGTGAGAATATGGGCAATGCAGGAGAGTGAGGAGTCTGGGAAGACGCTCCGCTGTTTAATCTATTCATTTATTTGACCAGATGCTTCTCATATAACAGAGTTTCATCCAAGATAGTGTTTCTTAAACCGGGGGTCAGGAAGTGAGCCCCAGTTGGTGAGTATAGCCAGCAATTTTTAATAAAGAAGAAGAGAACAAAACGAAACAGAACAGAAAATGTCAGGTGGCATTGCATATATGTAAAGTGTAACTATTGTTTTGTGAAACTTTGTTTCAGTCTGTCTGTGTGTGTGTGTATGTGTGTGTGTCTGTGTGCAGGTGCAAGTTCACAGCTGTATGAAGCATCTTAGACTGCGGTCAAAACATTTGAAAGTCCTATGATATTCTTTTTCTGTGATTGTGTCTGATTATTCTCAAGTATGAATATGTCCCAATCAGGCTTGATGATCTTAAAAAGGGAGACTGATTCCTTTGTGAGAAAACAGGAAAATCTTTTCTCGCTGCTGTTCTTCCAAGACTCAATCTTGCAGTAATCTGTGCCCTTGGAATTCCCAAGGATTCCACACAGAGGGAAAGGAAAGAGGATCGGCGCCAGCAAAACCGACTCTCCAGGCAGTGCTGGGACCATGCCAAATGCCCTGCCCTTCTGAAAAGAGGGGCAAGAATGAGATACACAAAGACACTGCTGCCCTAGGATTTCTGGCCACATGTCTCTCAGAGGCAGAACCACAGCCAGGAGAATAACGTTACCTTATTTTTATATATGGGTTTTACAGTTTGCAAACTACTTTCACATTATATGTTCCCATGTTTACAGTAGCCCTGTGAGTTCAGAGGGCCCTGAATATCTGAAAAATATTTTAGGTGTTTATTGGCCTGTAAATATTTAAAGCTATAAATATTTGCCTCTTAATATAGTCATTCACTCTTTCAGTCAACAGTCATTCGCAAGGCTCTGGGCTAAGATGTGGACATGCAAAGATGCAATCTGTTTTCCAGTCTGGTGATGTGTACCTGCAGGATCATAATTTAGGAGGATACAAAGTCCACATACTTATTTATGGATGCTTGCAGTTTCACCTATGGCGTGTTTACAGAATGTGCGTGCACCTGTATATAGATTTGCGTGTGTGTGTGTGTGAGAGAGAGAGAGAGAGAGACAGAGACAGAGAAGGAGAAAGAGAGCACGTATCTCTCCAAGTCCAAAATCAATAATTGTTTGCTCACAGGGAACAGAGCAGGAAAAAGCTGGCCCTCTTTTAAGCCCACAGGGTACATAAAGTTTTCTCCTTCTTGGGCTAAATGTGAGTATCTTAGTGGTAGGATAAGTGTGTCTGAGAATTTGAAGACAGCTATGTAGCCTCAGCAAATACAGCACCTACGTAACAGGATTTGCATACAAAGGAGTTCCCAGGCCTCTGAGTTCTAGCTAAAACCCCAGATTAAGAGTCCCTGGTTCATGCATTGGTCTAAGCAAGACAGACTTCTCAATTTAAAAAACATGTATACATATATATATATACACACATATATATATACACACACACATATGATATTTGTGTGTCAATATATACTTATTGTTCCTAATTTTGAAAAAACAATAGGTTCAAAGAGGACTGCTTTCTAAATTTTCTGTTCAGCGTTAGGTATGATTTGAGCAGTCATGAAAAATTAGTTACAATCATTTTAGGCATAAGAGTAAAATATTTCTTTACTTTAAATGTAAATGATTTGAAGTATTTGAATGGTATTTGAATCACTTTCCTGGTTGCCTCCTCACAAAGCGGTTCCCTGGATGTGCACCTAGGATGTTTTTACTGGTGGGAATGACCTTGACAGGAAGCCTATCTGGGAGACTTATGACCTCTTGAGGTCAATGACCTTGAGGTCCACATTAACCCTCAATTTTTCCAGTCATTACTCCACGGGAAGCCCATATCCTTTGCTCACAGTTTACTTATTTGTTCAGCCTTTTTTCTCATAACATGGAAAAGTAATCTTCTGAAGGCATTTCCCGTAATGAAGCCTACTCGTCTGACACAGATTTCTTTCCCAAGGTTCCGATGTGTTCAGTATGTTTAAACACATCTTTGCCCTTGAGATCCCTGCATATCAAGCACGTGATTGCTAATATTTTACTGATTAACTGGCAAGCACATTGTAAACTGGAATCGCAAGCCTGTCCTCCCCACCCTGGTGTTCATATCCTAAAAGTAACAGCGTGTGGAGGCCCTTACTGCCATTTTCGAAGTGTCACATGTCGTTTATGACTCTGATTACCTCTTGTTAAACAGCATTGTATTGTGTGAAGCATGGCTTCCTGTGATACAACGTTGTTTAACAGAGTATACCAAAATCTTCTATAGAACGTAAAAAATGAATTACTGTTAGATTCCTGTCATAAGAAGAATCCAGATGTAGAGGAGGGATGGCATTTGGCCCCAGAGCCCTCCTGCAGGCACCGACAAAGGAGCATAAGCAAGGTACTCCAGAAAGGCCCCGAGTTCCCAGGAATCCCAGCTTCCAAATCTTGCATGGGCCAAAGAGGGCTCGCTATGGGCAGACAGCCAGCCAACCACTGTCTGGCTCAAATCTCATCTCTCCTGCTGAGATGGTCCTGGTCACCTTGTCCAAAACGCCCCCTCTTGCTCTGAGCCCTGGAGGACTGTGTCCTGCTCTGAAAGGCCTTTGCTGCCTGGGTCGCAGTGATGTCTGGACCATCTTTGTCTTCCCTGCTCGGCTTAGAGACCTGCAGGGCAGGATCCTGCTGCCCACAGCCCTGCACCCTCCCTCATTCAGGTGTTTCAAATGTTAGGTTCAGATTTTGCCACTCTTCTGTTAGATTTCATTTAAGAAGGGATTTTCAGTCACTTTTATCTCTTATTCAAGCCTGTTCTTAAGGGAAATAATCCATTTATACCTGGTTTAACAGCAGGCTTTTCACATCGGGGGCACCCAACACGTGTCTGTTGAATAAGTCAATAAGACAAATGCCTTCTACTCCTGAAGGCCAAATGAGGGAGATCTGAGTGGAAAGGATCAGAGACCGTCAGAACCACTGTTTTCTATCATGGGACAGTAACAATGAGCCCCTCTGCTGTAGTAATAGTAGCAAACACAGGCAGTAACTCATTTCATCCTTGCAACAACCCTCTGAGCTAGGCACTGTTGTTTATCCCCATTTTATAGAGAAGGAAATGAAGCATGCTGAAGTTCCCTATCCAAGGTCATGAAGGTAACGAGACGGGGGTCAGGACTTGAACTCAGCTTCTAGCCACTTAATGCCATGTTACTGCTCTTGTAACAGTTAGTCTGCATATACCCTCAGATAAAGGAACGTTTTCTAAACAAATCAACAGGCTCTTTTTAAAAAGTTAATTCATGAAACTAAGTATATGTATTCAACAAGAGAAGAGACTTGAGTTCTCCTTAAGTAATAAATATACCATTAATTAAGAGCAAAATGAATTTAGAATGTATCTTCATTTTAAACTCCCCTCTAAAGCAATAACATTAACCCTGCACCAAAAGTAAAACTGTTTTGATCTAAAGTGATGAACTCTTGGTGAATTTGCTAGTTTTGGAAAACCTGGGTCATGTTTTGATAATTTAAAGGATTTGGGGAGTCATGTGGACTCCAAATATTCCTCTAGTCATTAAAACAAGATGGGAAGTTTTTCTTCAGTTGGTCTAGTTTGTTTGTTTTGTTTTTTAAGTGTAACCTTCAAACTTCAGCGACACCCTTTAGAAAATACCAGTTTGTTACATAAAGTTTTGAAATGCATCTTTGAAATTATAGAAATACATATGCAGGAGGTCAAAGACGAGTGGAACAGCTGTTACATAAAATCTCCACTTTCCAGATACCAAGAAGGAAGAGGTGGGAACATGGTCCAGGATCTAACCTTCACTCTGAACTTCCTGACTTGTGTTAGTTTAAGACATCCCTGTAGCATCATTTAAACATAGTTCTGGTGTATGAATAAACTTCCACTTGGAATTTCCTTTTTGAAGTCTGCTGAGAATATAAATCAAAACCATATGAGATGTGTCTTAATCCAGAATGTAAAATAACATGAGAAATGTCAACCCAGAAGTACTCCCTGAAATACATTCACCAGGATGCACATTCTGGCAAAATCCTTTATTTAGAATGAAAGTCTCCAGAGGACCGGATTTATTATTTTTAACCCATGATTGTGGAAGCCTGAATTGATAAAAGAAGATGCTTTTTAAAGTCATGGCAGTAAGAATGTTATTCGGCCAGCTAGAATGTTTGACAAGAACATCTGTTGGCATGGAAAGAGGTTCAAAATGCATTGTCAAGTGAAAAAAGCAGATTGCAATTTTATTTAAGGATTATGGAAGATAGATAGTATTCTTAGCCCAGATACAGGTACACATCTTAATAAAAGAATGAGAGACTATATGCCAACAAAATGTTAATCGGTCTCTAGGCGGTAGAATTATAGCAATTTTTCTTTTCTTCGTTTTTTCTTTCTTTCAGGTGTTTTAAATATTAGGTTTAGATTTTGTTCCTCTTCTGTTAGATTTCATGTAAGAAGGGATTTCAAGTCACTTTTCTCTCTTATTCAAGTCTCTTTGTGGGGGAATAATCCTTTTATGCCTGAATTTGGTGATTATTTGGACAAGCGCATTAGTCAAGACCATCATGTTGACTACATTATTAAAAAATGTTCTATGCCCAAAGCTAATCAGATAATTAAATTGCATTTGCTATATTGTCCAAAGTAGAGTTCCCTACACCTCCATTTAGAAGGACTTTATGTTTAAATGACACGAGCTTCTGCCATTTCACACTGTGTTCTTAAACTTAAAATTTGAAGAAACTCAACTAAGATTTCATGACAATAATTACTAAGGCCCGAATAATTCTTTAAAACTAGACATTATCTACTATACAAACTGAACTATTAGATTTTTAAACTTTTATTATGTTTTAAGCTTTTAAAACTTTTTTGTAGCTTATAAAACTTTTTTTAACCTATTTGAGTGCATTGGTGGTGTGTTTATGGAATGCCTCTATTGACTTTCATATTAATATGCCATATGGTTAGAGCAGAGTGTGACGCAAGTCATTAATGTATCACTGTGTCTGATGAAAAAGGGGGATTCCAACATGCAAGCTGTTTCCTACCTCTTCAGTTGGGGGCATAATCTCCCCCCACCCTGAATCAGGTAAAGCTATTTCAACTACCTGAACTCATTTTAAATTGCTTTCTGTAAGGGCTGTATAACGTCAGTGTCTATTAATGAATGGCAAAATAAAAATCCCAATACTTAGAGAGCAAACCTCTAAGCTCAGTGGTCTCTTCGGCCTTGAAGAACGTGGAGAAAAATTGATGGCTGAAAACCTAATAAAAACTTAATTTCTTGAATCTGACCCTGATTTTCTGGGACGAGTGATGTATATTTTGAAAATCTTTCACAGAACCAGCGCCGTCACAGACAAGTAGGAAGCATTCCAGAAAACTGGCAACGACAAATTGAAAAATTCCCAGTAAATATTTTATCCCAATAAATATTTCCAATATTTAAAAATAAAAGATACATACATACATACACTATCAAGCTTTTATATATAGTCAGATGACAAAATTACACTTGAGTTGTGCACATCTTTTCTTGGGATAAATTAAGCAAACACTAGTTTTGATTGATCCAGGTGTCCCAGTTGCTGGGAGGTTAAATGCACAAAGCCTTGAGCTGGGAGACAGAAGCTTCGGTGATGTTGTATCTTGTCATGCCAGCCCTGCAAGGAGTGAACGACTGGAAAAGGGTCTGTGGGGTTCTTGGAGTAATTTTATCCAGACATATTCTGTGTTCCTTCTGATGCATACATGGCACAATTTTCCCTGATGTCATGAAAGCTTCCGGTGGAATGGGTGTACCCAGAGCTATAAAAGAGTTGAGCTAAGCAACTGAAATAGCAGATAAGCCTCTATAAGTATAGACATTCAGATATGTCTGAAAATAGCTATAGAAGGGGTTTGATTCCCTAAAGACATGCATAATTTTTGTACCATTTAAAAAATAAGAGTCTTAAAGCAATATAAGATAGAAGATTACCTGCCCAAAGCCAAGAAACCTGACTCCCCAGTGGTGTTGGGACTTGTCCAAAGCAGTTGCTCTTCCCTGGGCAAGAAGTCATTGGCATGACAGAGGGAAAACACAGGGACCCTTCTGATACCGGCGGTTTGGTCGACCTTGTGGAAATTCCAGCTTCTGCTCCTGAGATCCAACATCAAGATGGCTACCACGGACTCTTAGTCTCCACCTTTTCAAGAGAAGCCACAGAAGTCAAGTTAGAAAGAAAAACCATCTCCAGAATCTTATACCCTTGTCCCAAGGAAGATTGACAAGACCCTGTTATCTTGGTTGGTCAGTATGGAGGTACTTTGGCCAAGGCCTGCAAATGATGAGCCTCTTTCTGATTGTCTGAATCAACGCTCTGTTCCCCTACCTTGCATTTCAGTTGCTTAACTGACTCCATCTTGAAGAACCTCTTGGGATTTAGTGGTAGGCAGTGGCTCCACAACTTCAAAAAGCTGGGGCTGTTCATATGCTTGTGTACGCATGCAGCCTCCCTGAGAAATACCACAGGCGCCTGATGGGAACAGTCTGTACCAAGTGAGAGAAGAGAATAAAGAGCTACTCTGCCTCATGGAAAACTTGACTCAAAACAATCTGGCCAGAAACTATTTGGCTGGTAGAGCATATATTTTCTGCTTTCTTTTTCTTTGAGATTGATTGGAGGGGATTGTACATTTTTTTTAATACTACTAGGACTATGGGCATGGAGAATAGTATTTATATTCCTGAAGACTTTCCTTGTTCAGCTGCAACTGAACTTTTGATTTTTTGCAGTATAAGTGTGTATGTGAGAGAAAAAGTGTGTGTGTTTGTGAATGTGCAGACACACACACATATGGAAGCATGTGATGGATGAGCATGAAAGGATTGTTTACATTTCTTTAATTCATATAGACCATGCACTGTAGGCAGGGGAGCAGAATTCTAAGCAAAAACGATTACTAAGACTGTGTTTATTTCTATGACAGACTGACCGATATCCCAACAGCTTCAAGTTGAAATAAAGGTCCATAGTGCATTCTGTGGGCTTCACCTACAGAATGAATAGCTGGCAGCTGTGATAAATTAGCTTATGCTAGATTACGCCACTGTAACAAGTTGTCCCCCAGGTTGTAGTGGCCTGAAACAACAGAAATTTATTTCTTGCTCACATTACACGTTAGCAGCTCATCTGCTATGGCTTTGTTCCGTGTCGTCATTCCAAGACCCAGGCTTGAGGAACAGCCTCTGTCTGAGACATACTAGCCTCATGGTAAAGGGAAAAGAGTAGGAAAGCTGGCAGAAAGATGGCTCTTGAAGGGTTTTGCTTGAAGCTACCATACATTACTTCTGCTCACATTTCATTGCCCAAAGTGGGTCATATGGCCAAGCCTGACATCAGTGGGATAAGAAGTATGGAGGATGGTTGGAGGACAACTGCAAGTTACGTGGCAATTAGAAAGGACCAGGAATCATTGGGAACATGTAAGAAAATATGTGTGTGTGTATGTTTTCATTATAAATTTAGTAAGTAAATAAATTATATATATATGATTTATATATATATATATATATATGATTTCCCCAGCAAGACTGAAAAAGGGTGATTACAAGCACACGTGACTGGGAATAGACCTACTACTTAGTTATACAATTTGCTTGATCCTCGTTTACCCTAATAGAAATTATTTTTAAGTGACTGGATTTGCTATGAATCCAGCTTGCAGAAGATATTTCAAGACCTGAGAAATAAGGCTAATGTTAAGAATTGGAATAATATGTCTCAACGTGTCTGTGACTCTTGCCTTCAGGAAAAAAGTCCATGTAAACACAGCCGTGAATCTCCGTCTTACCCTGAGTGCAGTTAGGTGTCACAGGGATATCTCCAGCTCCAGATTTGTTCCTTCTATAGTTTTATATTAGCTGACAGCAAGATATTTTGCTACACATCAAGAAAAAAATTGCCTTAATTTATGTGGAGATAAAATGGGTGTTTATCCATTAGTTTACTGATTTGAATATTCAGTGATTAATAATCTTAAATTTATTCTAAATAACCTGTATTTTAACTCTATTAGTAACCTAGAATATCATGGAAAGAAAATGTTATGCTCATTAGAAAAAATTATACATGGTATACATTTAAAACTTATTTAGGCCTTTTACACGTCACAATAAACTTATTACACAAATCAAAGAGTGCAAAAAGATGTATTCTGACACCACGATGTGGGATCTAAAGCAAAGCCTGTTATTAATAGAAAACTTGTTGTTTCACCCTGCACCTGTGGTTAGGGTTATAAAGACCTCCTTGGAGAAGGATTGTGGTGGTAGTATATGACTCTATATAATATTAATGATTGCATCATTCATACCCATATATAGTCAGAATAGATACTCCAGCATTGACTTTAACACAACTAGCCTAGTGTATGGCCAGATAAATACACCTCCAGTACATAGGAACTTCACTTGAGAAATTCCGTCTGGAGACAAAGGAGTCATTCGTCTTAAGTAGTATGTTGATAATGAAGCTAACTCAGCCATAGAAATCATCCTAAGCCAACAACCACGACCCTGTTGAAATGTTAATGCCTTTGGCGTACTTTCATAGTGATAATTGTATCCACTGCAGGCATCTTGTGGTGGTTGACTCAGCCATAATCTTTCAGAAGCAGGTTGCCCACCATGTTCACCAGTTTAAATGAAAAACAAAACTCTGTTTTCGAGCCTGCTTTTCTAAGTCACATGGAGATCTGTGATGTCTTTTTTTCCCCACTTCTCTTGAGTACATTTAATGAACATTTACAAAAGAAGACCTACTTAAATTGGAGTCAGTTTGTCCATCAAAATCCCAGGAGATTTGTAAGAACGACATAAATACATATGCCTGTATATAATGATTTCATAAACTTTCCACGGTAGACCAGATTCCTTCTAGCCAGTTAATTTTCTCGTGAACATAAAATTTAATTTGGCCCTAATTTGAATTTTTGGTCATTTAGAAAGAATAGTATTCCCTTGGGTTAGCTATGGAAAAACTATTTGCTATGTTAAGAAAAATGTAAACAAAAAAAATATACTTAAAATGCTCAGCTAGGAGAGCACACTGCTCCCAAGCATTCTAGAAACGTCAGTCTGAAAATTCAACGAGACTGTAACATAAGAGGAGGCCTGCAAACCTGGGAGGCAAATTTGCTGTGTTCAATAGAGCTCCTGACTTGACTGACGCCCTCCAGAGCCTTGTCCACCTGACTGTAGCCGGACATCACTAAGTGATATTTCATTAAAGAAATGGCTTGTACATCTCTTTTAACTCTGACTTCCAGCCTTCTCCACAATCAGTCTATGTTGGTGAAGTCCTGCTGAACCGTTTTCTCTCGGCTACCTTGATGTTATGACCTCCCAGTAGTGAGATACAATTGGCAGTATTCAAAAATCAGGTATTTCAAATTAAGCATCATTCTCAAAACAAGGTAAATTTCTCATTTTGACCAGCAATATCATTATATGGGAAAACATTCACCATCTGTTATTATATGAAAAAAGTAGTCAACCAAAGATATTACGGTGATTACCATTTTGACAAATAACATATATTGAATTAGGCACCAGTAATGGGACAAGAGTTGACATTTTTCTTTCATTTTGCCTTTCTGTATATTTTATATTTTCAACACTGAGCATGTGTAACTAAGAAACATGATAATACTTTTTAAAACCAGTGTCACCGGCCATAGTTAGTTTTTACAGTGTCTATGTTCTCATGCCCATTGATGTGCAGCTCCTCGGGCACCCACTGAGACAGCCTTCCTCTGCTGTGTCTGTCTCTGGACAGAGGTCACATCATGCTCTATATGTTGGAAAGGCAGCCAAGGCAAACTGACTTTCCCTCAAGTAGAATCACAGATATGTGGCAGAAGGGCATGCCTAGCACCAAACCATCTTCCTGATTTATTGAGTGAAAGGGTTTGCTTGGTTTTTGTGCAGATCAAGTTACCAATTGATAAACTGGCTGTCTCCCTTTTCAACCAGTTGATTTCAGACCCCAAACTGTTGACCAAAGCTCCTTGGTCTCCTTGGACCAGGGGAATGGGGTGCTCTTAAGGAACAAGTCTTCCGCGTGTGAGTGGTAGAGATGGGGCCAAGGGATGTGATTGGGGCAACCAGGAATGTCAGCCCCACCTAAACCAGATAGAAGAGGCTCTTGACATGGAGAGGTTCTGTTATCCAAAGAAGTGGGAAAGGTTGTTGGGCAGGCAAACAATAGATACCCGCTATGGAGTAAAACGGAAATGATTTTTACATATAATAATTATAAAAATTGTGCTGCAATCCTGTCGTGATTCCAAGCCAGATGGATTGAATTTTCTCCGGTAATGGAATGCAGTAACCATGGTAGAGATCAGCAGGCCAGTCTGTCCAAGGGCATTCTTAGTTCCACCCCACACAGGTTTTCTACAGGAGATTTGCAGCAGGTTGATGCTTTGCCTTGTAGCCTTGGAGCTGCTACAGGGACAGGTATGCACTGCAAATGGAGAAGGAATAAAACTATCAAAATGTGATTTGAATGGCCCTTAAAGCTTTTACTTAATATTACGCTGGCTAGCAAGAGCGCAATAAAAAAGATTTTCACAGTCCCTCAAGTGTCATTTAAATCTCATTAAGTAGATCTTTGTGAAATGATGACACTGGCAATAATGATTCCTTTTTAATTCTCCAGTCATTTTGGCCACTGCAAGGGTCATACGCCCTGGGGAACACGTTAGCTTTTGCCTGATAGGAGTTCACAGGGGCTGTGGCAAATAGTAGAAACCTTAAGTCTCTTTTTTTTCTCCAACTCGTCTTGATGGGCAAAGTCAAATTTGATAGTGGTTAATGCCTGATTATTTTGTCTGCTTTGTCACTAGGTGGTAAACAAGGGCTTGTTTCACCCTTAAATTGAGGTATCAAGGTGTTGGGCCTACAGCTAGATTAGGGGAATGTGTTTGAGGGACATTTCAGAAATAGAATAACAAGCTGGTGTGGGAGTGACAGTGAGGAGCCATCCCCCATGGCTGGGATGTGGCTTCTTCTCATTTATTGTCTACTAATTGGGTTTTTTGTTGTCACTTGACTCTGAGACAAAGGCTAAATGCCTACCCATTTAAAAAATCGGCATATTTGAGGGCTTGATTTAGCTGGGTTCTGGTTAAGATTTGGTTATTCATGTTTATGTGTGGATAGAATTTCAGTTCACTATCTATGTTGCTCTTGTGTAAAAAGAAAATGAAGTCATCTAGAGAGCCTCTTAAATAAAATCTCCCAGGTTTGCCTGAGCCCTGTTCCACTGCCCGGCCAGAGTCTTCAGTTCCAGAAGGAGTTTTTCTCTGAAGACCTCTGCTGCCCACCTCTCCACCACCGCATTATCCTTCCTTCCAACTGTCTGAACCCCCACTTTCCCTAGACTGGTGGAGTGCACACCTTTTTCATAAGCTCCCTTCCCACTCTCCTTTGAGCTTTCTATGTTGTAGGGCCCCTGCCTTCCGGGTCTCCTCCATTTGTTCTTCATGGTCTGTCTCTCTGGGGCTCTTCCACTTAACACTACTTTTTGATAATAGTGCAAGTAATAAAATAGACAAAGGCATACTATTCATGTAATTCAAATAGAAAATACAGAATTCTATACTTCTAAGACTTGCTGACTCATAATTAAGTTTAGAGCATGTCTAGAAATTAGATGTTTTCTCGTCACCATCCACAGTCTCATATTGAAGTAGAAAGCGAATCTGAAGCTTGAAAAGCTAGAACGCAACAGCCCGTCTGTGACTCAGTAGTAACTCACCATATTTTCTCCGTGTTACAGTCAGAACGTGCGTTTCCTGCGTCCCCTCAAATACTTGTGTGGTTATCAAAGAGGAAGCCTTCACAGAAGGTCTCTCAAATGAGTACTAAATAGAACTTTTGAGACGTACAATAATTGCCCTTTGTACCTCCCGAAGGGAAAGCCCAAGTTAGCCAACACAGTGCGGTTCAGCTGAAGGTCATTTTGAACTGCACTGTGGATCTCAGAGACACCCCTCCTGATAGAAATGCTTTCCAGAGCTTTTATTTTCAGCCTGGTGCCCCGGGTATTTCAGTGATGCCTACGAGGCAGGAATGAGTACGTGTTAGGTCTGTGCTGGTAGCCATTATGTAAAAAACCCTCGTGTCAGAGAAAAAACTCAAGATTTAGAAATTGTCAGTCCCTGGAATGATGGTGGATTAGGGGATGCCAAAAGAAGCAGGCGCTCTGGGACATGGAAGGAAAACTCTGGGATCGTGATTTTCCCGAATTTAATGGCAAATCTCAACGCATGTCCAACCAGATCAGGGAGACGGGGCTGTAGGCTTTTGCTCTTCCCTTTGAGGCCTGTGCAAGAGCTGGCCTTTGGTGTGTTTTCCTAACATATAACAGATAGCTCTGTCACATTAAACATTATGCTGCACAGACACTGAGCTTTCATTCTAGATGTGCAGTCTCAGGCCCAGGGCTGATGTTAGTGTGGATCGTTTTTATGCAGTGATCCCGAGAACACACTGTACTCTCTGGCTTCTGCTATGGGGAAAAACGCACGTCAGAGTAAATGGAAATACAGTGACCTGACCGGGCTTCATCCCAACATCAGAGGAAGGGGCCTGGGTAGAGACGTGTTGTAAGAGGCTGTTTAATTTTGTTTGGAGAAACTGAACTTTTGACAGATGAACTTCTTTTCCCTTGCATTCATATTTATCTAACAGAGTTGTGGTTGGGAAATCATCCAGAATTCACAAGGTCAAAAAGTGACCTAGTTCACATACTATAGGCTCCTCCCATCTCCCTCCACAGCCTCTCCAGGCAGGTGGTCCCATGGGTGGTTGTTATGTCCACACTGAAAACGGTCACCTAAAGGACAGATCAGCCTCTTGGGTTTGGCCCCCTGAGGTTCTAGCAGCCACATCAAACTCATGTCTCAATTCTGGACAGTCAGCTTTACTTTTCCATGCTGCGCTCTGATATCATTCTAATGTGCTTGATGAATGAACATCTTGTTGTAAGGCATTGGGAATTAGAACCATTAGTAAAATTAAAGAAATAATATTAAACTGGATTTTTGTAATATCTTTCTTCATGAGAAAATACATTTTCATAGACTACCCAGTTGTGTTCTTTCTTTCATTATCCAAGAGCAAAAGAATGTTGAATAAATATTCTTAGCCTTATCTTTGAAAGTTAAAAAAAAAATCATTAAAAAAAACAGGATCAGAAGGAAGTATTTCCTCCTTCTCCCTAGTTTCCTGGTTCCCTGGTGTATAAATAAGACATTTTTCCCTGCCTGAAACTCAGCCTTTGTGTTCTGTAATCTGTGGTTTTGTTATTATCCAAGTACTTATGGATCAACATTGAGATAATCTTCGTAGACACATAACAAGTACCTATGTGATACCTGCTCATTTTACACCCATTTCTGGGTAGACCTACTTAGACAGACTTACCTGAGAACGATTTTGCTTTGTAATAACTTGCACAATGCTCTCTGGTTTCTCCTTGATTAAGAAGATAGGGTACTAGCGTGCAGCCATTGGACTCATGCATTTCCCTTTCTTGTATTTTTCAGAAATTGAGGCGAAGGAAGCATGCGACTGGCTTCGCGCTGCCGGGTTCCCGCAATACGCTCAGTTATATGAGGGTAGGTTGGCCTTCTCTTCGCTCTTTATAAAGAGAATAAATTCAAAGTGGGCCGCACACATCCTGTGGTGTATTTTGGCTTCCAAGTCTTTTCTCAGCCATTTCCTTTTGCTATCTCTTTCCCTCTTTTATTTCCCTCTTATTGCCTTTGCAATGCCCAGAGCTTATCCTGATGCCAATTTAGAAATGAGTATCGCTTCCCAAGCCGCCTTCACTTTCTGCTCTGCTTCTCACTTCACACTTCTTTCCTTTCTGCTTCCCACTTTCTGTTCTCATCCCTTTACCACCAATCCCAACTCTGCCTGTTCCTTCTAGTGTTCTTCCATCAACAGTTTTTCTGCAGTCTCTTTCTTTTCCTTTTTCCTTGTTTTTCTTCATTACTTTCAATTTGAAAGTACAATAAATGGTTGTTGATAAATTTCCTAGAAATCACAAAACTCATTGTCTTGAGACTTTTCTTTAGTTGTGTTTACTTGATATGAAAATTTTTAAGACAGAATATGGATCAGATGTTGCTTTTCTGGGTTTTAGGTAAGATGCTTTTATTGCCAGCATCATACTTCCTGTCATTGATGTTTTAATTGACAGTTAAACTTACCTATATCTTACTTATTCCTAAAATTATACCAAAGCATCTGACTACTTCTTGGCTACTCCTTATATATAGTGAATTAGTCAGCATCCCAACAGTAAGCAGATGGCACACTTGAGATACCTGAGGAGGACTTATTTCTAAAAGTGTTCATTACAAAGATGTGGGCAAGACATAGGAAACCTTGAGGAACAGTACTAGAGTCCAGAGCCTGTAGGAGCAGACCTGTTACTGTCCTAGGCCCAAAGGGATAGGCGGAGAGCCAGGGTGCCAGAGCCCAGAAGGAGAGAGGATCCTTAGAGCAGGCCCCAGGAGTGGAGGACCCAGCTGGTGGTAGACAGCCTCCCATGGAGAGAACCAGGAGGATAAATATCCTGATCTCATCCTCCTCCCTCCCTCTCTCTCCAGCCAGGGCTTCCCATTGGCCAAACGCAAAAGGAAGCCAGAGGACACAGATCTTCTTAAATGCCATCCACACAGGTGATCCTGGGGCACAAACGAGGGTACAGAAAAGTGGAGAGTGCGTCCGTAGGACTAAAGAGAGGATATCTAGCACACTACACAATATAGACTTCTCTTCCTGACGATGTAGAACTTATTTAGGATGGAAAGAATCAACAAAATTAACTGTCACTCCTGGTGAATCTCATCCACTCACCTAGAAGCTCAGTTTTATATTTTTTAAAAAAAAACTTATTCCACTTCTCTCACTTGAATTTTGTGAGGATAAAGGAGGGCATATCTCTGAATGTGCTTCGAAGTCTAGAATCTCTGATAAAAGTTTTGACAGAATCATAGACAAAGGAGGGGTCTTACAGTTTCTGACTAAGCAGCCTTCACTCCCACCCCCCCACCACCAGTTTACTGATTATAAGAAAGAGGCCTGAAAAGGTTAGTGGCTTTTCTGAGGTTATAAGATAGAAGAGTCATAATTAAAATCTCAATCTTTTCAGCCCCAGTGCAGTCTACTTTCTATAATGTGCACTTTCTTTGTAAACTCAAAATACTATATGATTTAAATGTGAAGAGTCCATAAATGGCTAAGAAGTAAAGATATCTCATAGGTAAAATGTGCCTGTCAGATTGTGTTTAAGCCATAGGCCTTGAATAAATGTAATAAGAATAAGAGCAAATACTTACACAGAGCTTACTAGGCACCAGGTGCTGTCGAAAGCACTTTACATGTACTATTCATTTAATAGAAACAATGCTGTAGAGTAGGTATTATAATTATCATCATCCCCATTTTACAGATAAGGAAACAGAGGCATGGAAGAGGTTAAGTGACTTGCCCACAGTTCTACAGCTAGGGAGTGGCAGAGTCAGGACTCAAAGCCCGGGCAGCTAGGCTTCCGTGTCTGTGTTCCTCATTACGCATCCTCCCTCTCTAGCAGAACGAGACAGTCTTCATTCTGGCACCATCTGGAATTCACTCACATTACTTTTTTCATCAAAAGAGGAATTGTTTCTATTCCCAACTCACATTAAGATTTAGAGACCCTTAGATTTATTATGATTGGCAAGGTGGAGGCAGTGCAAAGTATAAGATGAGGAAGAGAAAGAATTACAGGATAATGATAATGAACTGACATTGTCTGTTGGCTTTGACTGTGGCCTCTATTACAGTGATCTCTAGACTTTTGCTTCCATGAATGAGGTACCTAAAATTAGCCCTGTGTCCTGGGTCTTGCCCATGACCTCCAAAGCTGGCATAAATAGTCTGTGGCAGAAAAGTCATGATGTTAGAATTTCTTCTTCTCTTTGGGTAGATTCAGTTGTTTGAGTAGTTTTCTGATATTCTGGAGTAACTCAAGATTTTGCTACAAAAGAAAATGTTTGAGGCCATTGAGCTTTGGGTATTTTTGGAAATTGCCTTTCTGAAGGAAATTTAAAAATCTGCCAAACTAAATATTTCATGAACCAATCAGGATAGAAGTCAGTGACCTACAGTGGATGGTGAGAGTGTAAAGTCTCTTCTCCATCGAGGCAAATATCTATGATAATGATGAGGCATAGAAACACAGGCACTTAGCATTCAGTCCTATCCAAGGTCAAGCACTAGGTTAGTGTCATATTTCACACTACTTTTGTACCTTTAAGAGCATTTATTGTGATAATATAATGCTGCCTGCTATCTTAAACATTACCAACACACCCGTTATTGAGGAGTACTGCTGTTAAGATCAGTCATGTGTACAGAAACGTGGTGACCTGAAGATGCTGATGCCCGTTCAGATAAAACATAAACCCCTTTGTTTCTCTCTGTCTCTCTTTCAGATTCCCAATTTCCCATCAACATTGTGGCTGTCAAGAACGATCATGATTTTCTTGAAAAGGACCTTGTAGAACCTCTTTGCAGGTAAATCATGTGAAGTATTTTTATTTCTTTCAGTTGGAAAGAAAGTCTCAAGTAGGTATCACTAGATTGAGGGGCGGGTTCAACAATTCGTAAGTATTTCTTGAGAGCCTACTATGTGCCTAGCATGGGTCCAGGTTCTAAGCATACACTGGTGAGCATGATTAGTCCCTGGTTTCGTGGAGCTTAAATCCTAGTAGGAGGCTTTAGACAATAGGTTAGGAAAAAGAAAGAGAGAGTGAGAGAAAGAAAGAGAGAGAGAAAGGGAGAGGGAGATGTTATCTTAGAGAGTGTTAAATGCTATGAAAATAGTAAAACAAGATGAGGCTATAGACGGTGCTTAGGGTGTGGGTGGGTGAGTAGGAGGCAGCAGGTGGGCCACAGCGTGAATGGTCAGGGAAGGACCTGGAAAACTCCATGAGTATGTTAAACTTGGCTGCAGTTTTTGGAAAGTCGAGTGATTACATCAGCAAACTGGAATATGTAAGCTCAAGTAATCATATTGGCAACCTGGAATATTTAAGCCTTTGCAACGTGGTAGATGATATAAGGAAACAAAGATGAATATATGAATAGCTCCCTCCCCTCGAAGAATTTCTAGTCTGGTTGGAGAAATCTAGTTGAAGAAATGAAGCATGAATACATGAACAAGTAAGTAACAATTATAATTTGGGTAATAAAAAAGATGCCAATGACAGTTGTTAGCTCAGGTCCCAATCTTTAAAAAAAAAAAAAAAAAGATGCCAATGTAATCAATATCCCTGAACAATTAAATGCATGTGAAAGGTTGTATGTGTCTGTAGGAATTTGAAGTTTCCTAACCAAAGCCCTGGAGAGAGGTCAGAGCTGGAGATAAATATTAGTTGCAGGAGGTGAGTCATTTTTCCAAGGCCACACAGTTAGTTATGGGCTGAACTGACCTTAAAACTCAGTACTGATAACTTGCAGTCTAATCTTCTTTCTAGCACTTTCTGTGTTTGACATAGAAAAGATGGCAGTTTAAGAGGAAAGTAACGATGAGCAAAACTTTTGTCAAGATAAGAGAGAGGAATGTATGTTAGAGTGGTGTGTAAATAATCTTAGGCTTGCTGAATCTTCAGACATATATATTTTTGCGTTCACAAGCTGATCACTCTATGGTAGTTCCTATATGAAGAGAAAATAGATTTGAGTTAAGCCATGATCTGTGAATGTTCAAGGAAAAAGCAGGACTGTGAGCTGGCTTGAGTGGGTAGAGGAGCAAAGAACTCTTCCAATCGCAAATTACATGCACAGGCTATTTGGACTAGAAAACACACAAGCACGAAATGCCATTTGTGAGGGGTTGTGAGACCAATGGATGGTTTGGTTGTGATTCTTTAAAGGTCATGAATTGGAAAAGCAGTGTTTTCTCTTCAGCATGTCTGAAGCACATCGCAAGCAGAGGCCACTGTCTCCTCATGAGCATTTATCCGGCTCAGAACTGTTCAGCCAGAACCTTGTCCTGAGTTTTCCTTCTTAGTTTCAACCCAGGGTATTTTTACTAGTTGGCATATTTTTCAAAAGAAATAATGTTTGCATTTTGATTTTGTTATATTACATTATCTTTTTTCCCAATTGAATTTTTTAAATTTATGTTTTCTTTCGATCAAAGCATCATGTATGTATAAAGTAAAATTCACTATTTTCAGTGTACAGTTCTTTGAGTTTTGACAAAGGCCTACAGTCATGTAACCACCGCCACAGCCAATATATAGAACAGCTCCATCACTCCCCAAAATTCCCTGGTTCCCCTTTGTCATCAACCTCTACCCCTACTCCCAGCCCCTGGCCACCACTGATCTGGTTTCTGTACCTGTTGTTTTGCCTTTTCCAGAATGCCATATAAATGAAATCAAAGAGTATGTAGCTTTTTCAGTCTAGCTTCATTTCACTTAATGCACTTAAGACTCATCCATATCGTTGTATGTATCAGTCAATACAATTGCTGAGTAGCATTCCATTGTATGGCTATATTACAGTTTGCCTATCCATTCACCAGTTAAAGGACATATGTGTTGTCACCAGTTTGGATGGTTATAAAGCCACTAGAAACATTCATATTCAAATTTTTCTATGAGCATGAGGTTTCATTTCTTTTGGGTAAAAATCCTAGAAACGGGATTATGGGGTTCATATAATAAGTATGTTTTAACTTTAAAAGAAATCACCAAACTTTCCCAAAGTAACCATATCATTTTGTATTCCCACCAACAATATATGAGAGTTCTAGTTGTTCCACATCTTTGTTAGCACTTGGTATTGTCAGTTTTTTTTGTTTTGTTTTGCTTTTAACCATTCTAATAGGTGTCTAGTGTTATCTAGCTTTATGGGCCCAGCTTTAAATCTCAAACATGTGGGGTGGTAAATCATTATCTACTCACTGCTGCATGTGATCTGAGATGCCCTGACTAAGTTCTGGACTTGTCCATCAGAGTCTACCCTTTTTAAAACAATATCTTTCAAGGGGCCAGCCCTGTGATGTAGTGGTGAAGTTGGTGTACTCTGCTTTGGTGGCCCAGGGTTCATGGGTTCGGATCCTGGGTGCAGACCTAGGCCCACTCATCAAGCCATGCTGTGGCAGCATCCCACATAAAATAGAGGAACATTGGCACAGTTGTTAGCTCAGTGACAATCTTCCTCACCAAAAAAAGAAAAAATCTTTCAGACATATTATAGATATGAGCCAGTATAATTAATGGGAAATCATTTAGAGATATAAAGTTCTGAATGATAATACTAACGTCAGCCAGAAAAATCAGGAAGCCCTCTGTTGTAGAGCCCATGACCCATCTCTGATACAGCCCTTGGCAGGATCCATACAGACGTACCCCAAGAGACATTACTCTGCAAACACGGGGAAGAAGCGCAGCAATGCCAGACACCGCAGTGCTCTTGGTGAAGGCCCAGCTTGTGTAAAATGGTTAGAGTGGCAGGAGGTTGTTATAATTGGAATAATTCTTAGGACAGCTAAGTCTCCAAAAATATTATGAAGTCAGAAAAGTGTTCGGCTGGAGGTGTGTGAGCTGAGATGCTTGGAGCTCAGGAGCGGGTGGGGTGGGGGAACAGAGGGCAAAGGTCGTCACAGCGTGGATGGTTGGATCAAGGGAAGCAGGCAAAGTAGGTAGCAGATATGAAGGGAGCTTGGTTAAAGGGAATGCGAATGGAGTTTCTCTCCCTTTGTTTCGAGTTCCACCAAGACGCAGATTTCCCACGTTCCAAATAGGGGAAAGCGGGCACAAGGAAGACTCGCAGCCTGAGGGGAATGACAGCACATTTAAAACTTTGAGATTGATGAGTGATTAATTAGACGCTCACCCACTCACACGGTGTGTTATGATTGATGCCTGGAGAGCAGTAAGGAGTTGTGAATTTATTCCTTTTCTTCCTCGTGCACTGCAGACACCCTGATAGAGCTGGTCTCATGTTTTATTTTTAAAGCTTTGTGGCCTATCCATTTCTCATGCATATTTGAAATGCTGAGCCAACGCGGAATCGTAAAGAGAACCGTAGCCAGAGGGCAGGTAGCTTCTGCCAAGTCAACAAATGAAGACGAGATTGCTGAAGGTCTCCTGCAAATGTTGCCCACAAGAATTTTACTCACCTTTGGTTTCCCGGAAGTGTGTCTCCTGTGTGGACAGACAGTTAATGTCCTAGGTCCAGAATTACACTTGGGGAGTTGTTGAACAGGGTTAACTTTCTGGTTGGCTTGGAAAAATATATTGTGTGGAGGATGTTGATGGCAGGGAGGGCCATGTGGATGTGTAGCTCTCGTTGTTATGTCTCGGAAACCAGACAGGTTGACTGTTTTTGCTGAAGGTGTGACCATCCAGGATGGTGACCTCTTGTAGCCTTTGTTTCCCAGCTCTCACAGCACCAGCATACAGTAGCTGCTCTGTACATACTCGTTTCTGCAAGTCAGGGTAGTACTGTTTCCACTATTTTAGCGACCACAATTATAATTCTGTTTTGATGTTTTTTGACTAGATTCTTAATTGAAAAATGTTTTCCCCTGTGAGTAATGAAAAGCTAATTGCAAATTTAAGAACCTATATGAGGTCGTTGAAACTGTGTCAGAATGTAGGCTGAGGCAAGGTGTCAAAATAGCTTGCAAAAGTTTGTCACCTTTAAGGCAAATTGCGGCAAATCAGAGCTCCTGAATGAGATTTTTAAGTCATATGTTCTGTTAGCATTTGGGTTTGCGGAATTGGCTCAGTCTGCTAACAGAGGGCCTGATGCCCAAGGTGATCTCTGAGTTTCTAGTGGAATGTTAGGCCAGTAAACCATCTGCATAGCTTATATTGTTAATAAATACTAGTTAAATACAGCATGTATAAAACAGAGTATTCACCTTGTTCAGCACTGTTTTGTGGAGATGTGGCATTGATTAGGGTGATACAGTGCTTCTAGCACTGCCCTTTATATTTAAAAGGATAAGTATAATGAAAGTGATTTTCATATAAGGTGGGGGAGGAGGTCGGGGGGAGTGCTGACAAAAATGATACCTAAAATTTTCCTCTGCACACAAAGGCACATATTTGATTTGAGTATGTTAAATAACGTTGATAATATTAAATAATGGTAGTCTTCATGGATATTGATAATAGATTTTAAATATTTTTCCATTTAGAATATTTATCACAGAAAATGTACAGTATTATATATATTGTTATGCCATATAACAATTTGTGACAATTAACTGGACTGAAGCCTTCAACAAATCATTGGGAGAAGGATGTAGATGGGATGGTAGATGATAATCATGGTCCCTTCCACCTTTAAAATTTTGAGACTATAAATAAATACAAATCCCAAGAAGCAGTGATTCTGTCTCTGTCAGACACATACAAGGTGTTCACTATATGTACCAAATATTACTCTAAGCATTTTACAAATATTTACTTATTAATTCTTATAACAATCCTATAAAGTAGGCTCTAACATCATTCCCATTTTACAGATAAGGAAACTGAGGCAAAGAGATG